CCACAGCTAGAACCAGAAATGCCAGGATCTTACAACCGGTACATCAGACCCAGTATACGTCAGGTCGGGCTTGGTAATGCTCGTGTAAAGGAACGTCTTGTACATTCATAGAAGGTGTAGGTCGATATTGATCACTTTCTCTGTCGCGTAGAAGGCAGTTCATTTATATAAGCACATGTATGCTATCATAATGATCCTTATCATGTTGCCGATTTGAAGTGTAGAGTACCGTCGTTTTATATGTGAACTTTCCACTGCCCACAACTTTCGTTACTTGGAACCTTTTCTGATGATGAGATTTCGTGTTTCGTTGTTACGTGGTATGTTTTAAGTTTACCTTCATCATCCAGTGTTTCCACTTTCGTCCACTTCCAGCATAAATCCAGGGCTCCAATACTCCCACTCTTCGCTTTGTTTATCGACCCATAACATACTCTCTGAGACTAGATCTTCAATTGCTGTCTTGGCTCTTGCTCTTGGCCATCGAAGATTTAACATGAGCATTCCGACGCTAACATATCCAAGTAGCTGCGCAGCTTCCAGAACTGCACTCTGATCTGTGTTGAGTTCTTTGGGTATCGAACGGATATATGTTTTATGGCCAACGGTTATAGTGGAATAGGAAGAACCCAGGGGTTTTAGGGTAGTCACGGCACGAAGGATATCATCACTAGGATACAGTTAGCATTTGTTATAGTCACAAGAGTAACATAAGGTGATCAATACTCAGATATTTCAGCTCCACCTTCCATTCGTGTGCTCAGGATTTTGTCTTTGACTTCTTTAACACCAATAAGCCCACCATTCTCTTCCCGTGTAGCGCCACAGACTTCCACAACTCTCACTGCCAACTCAAAATAGAAATCATTCACACTTGTACCAAGCATCTGAGCCCAAAAACTTCCACTCCCATCTCTACCTCCGGCATTATTACTACTAGCTAAGGGGTCCACTCCAATAGCTGAACACATGCGCGCAAACTCGGCGCGGAAAGTGGGATTCGAACGTATATCTTTGGCATGAGTTTGTGCAAATTGCTGAAGTAAAGAACGAAAGACTGATAACTGAGTAGCTATAGATGTGGAATGAGCGCTGCGAAGATTATTTCCGTGAGATGCGTATTGAGCAGAAGTGATTCGAGACCTATCGAAAGCTGCTAGACCAACACCTTTGCGAGACATCGTGGCAGCTATTTTATGAAATGGATTTGAAGTCTTACAGTGCAGCTGACATTGAATGCTTTGAGATAACGATAAGACATCGGTGTGTGATCTGGGGCGATGGATGGAGCTAACCTGTTTCGGTGTTAGTCCATTTCGCTAATTGAATGGCTCGCACTTTTTGCAAATCGAAAATTACACTCAGAAAGAGAACGTTTCGCGACAACGACGACAACACTTTACAACCACCTCGACAATCCACGCCAAGGTGAGCTCACATTCCGACCTGATTTGATTTGCGGTTGTCCTGGAGTTTTGGGGTATGGAAGGATTTATGCGTTACTTGGAGGTTCTGGAACTCGACCATTAGTATTTTTTCGACATTCGACAAAAGCGCTACCAATTATTTTCTACGATACGGAATTGCAAATTTGGAGGAATAAGAAGCTAACGTCTATTCGCTTTTAAAGGAAAATTATCCAAGATGGCTTCCAACCAGTCTGTTCAGTGTTTCGGAAAGAAGAAGACCGGTAAGAATTTCAATCCGAGTCTCGCTCTTTGGAATTGAATCAAGACTGACATTTTTCCAATAGCCACCGCAGTTGCCCACTGCAAGGTACGAACTCCCTCGACAGGAATCTCACAGATTCACAACGAACCCCCGAGAAGTCAAATACTGATCAGAAGGATAGGCCGGAAAGGGACTTGTTAAGGTCAACGGAAAGCCTTTGAACTTGGTTCAACCAGAGGTCTTGAGATTCAAGGTCTACGAGCCCCTCTTGATCGTCGGTCTCGACAGATTCGCCGGTGTTGACATCCGTGTCCGTGTTACCGGTGGTGGTCAAACCTCCCAAATCTATGCTATCCGTCAAGCTATCTCCAAGGCCATCGTTGCCTACTACCAAAAGTTCGTCGATGAGCACTCAAAGAACCAATTGAAGCAAGCCCTCGTTACCTACGACAGAACCCTCTTGGTTGCCGATAACAGACGTTGCGAGCCAAAGAAGTTCGGAGGTCAGTTATTTTATATGGCAGGTACTATCGAAATTTTGGCTAATGTTTTCAATAGGTCCCGGTGCCAGAGCCAGATACCAAAAATCTTACCGTTAAATTTGTGGTTTTATGGGGTTGGATTTGGGGGAGTGGTCATGCTGCATTTGCATTGGGCTGGCTTTTTACGCCGGTTTATAGAATTTTAAGCAAGTAAATGCAAGATTCTTCCGAAATGTTCATAATATGAGGAGCATATGGCAATGGAAATGTTGAACAATGCTACGACAACGTGCCGAGGATTCGCAAGAGTTCTGTTATGTGATTATCTGGTGATCAGGGGTTCGCTTCAATCGACCGAAAGCACGAGGTAGAATGGCCACAACTACAAATACACTTCCCATTCCCAGCAATTGTCTACATCTTGACCGTGTGTGAGGGATTACTGCACAGTGAAAGCATCATGCATGGGTTTCCCGCCTGTTTCATTCCAGATCTTAATGACGTCAAACTTTGTGATTTAAGTCCTTCTAAGTTTGAAAAGAATATCATTCAGAAATGCAGTGATCATGGATGCTTGAAGTATATTCCCTATGAAGTCCCAATTCATGTTGAATGTCAGCCAGTCAGCGAAAACTCCACAATCAAGTTGAACCGTACGCCCGTTCCCATACCACCCAAACTGCGTCTCTAATCCTTAATGTTTGCCAGAATCGTCTTCATCATCTCATTACCTACTCTAGTTGCCTCTGGAAATCTTGGAGCGAAAAACATTTGCGTCTTCTCGAATCTATCTTTCCAACTCTCGAAATCTCCAAACTCCACACACTCGCTCCATCCCCTAGCTGCAAATGTAAATTCCAAATCGTCAGAACGAAATGTATTGTCTTCAATAGCAGTATTGATAACTTCATCCAACAATTTATCATTTCTGAATAGGTATTCTGAGACACCGAGCCAGAGACGAAAGAGAGGTGTGCTACAGATCATATGATCATACGGACTAATGTTGAGACGAGCCCAACAATCAACGATAGCGAGAAGAGAGAGGTGATTGTTTGGCGTTGGTTTTTCAGGCTTTTTACCTAGGGAGAAACGATCAAGTACTTCATCGCGCAAGAGTAACTCATCGGACTTTTTTCGTCCAGCAAAGACGAATCGTCCTGCGCTCTTGATTCGCTCCTCTAACTCTCTTCTGTGCCCTCCAAGCATTAGTTTGTATAGATCCGTGACACTTGACGCGTACTCTCTGATCTGTTCTTTGGCGTAAGGGTTTAGGATGGCGAGACCAGCATAAACGTGCCATTTCTGAGAGTAGATGCGGAGGGTAAGATTAATTTTGACATTTTCAATACCACCAACATATCGGGCTATTTCCCAAGGGAATTGGAGATTGGCGTGCCAGGCTTTGCCCATGGATAGAAAGGCTGCATGGGTCACGGCTTGGGTATCTGCTGTTATGCGGTCGTGTTGAGAAGCTGAGAGAACATGTTGTTTGGAGCCGAGGCATGAGAGAACATGCTCAACCTTTTCGAAGTTCTCTTGGGATGCACGATGTTTGATCAAAACCTATGATTTTCTTAAGCACGTGAGGTCGTGATATGACTGTGATACTTACGAGTGGTTGACCTCGAGGATCCACGTTGGGACCATGAAGAGAATGGCAAGATACAATATCAACGTCGGCAGGAAGATACTTTTCAAAGGCAGCTATCTCAGGAGCTTTGCAAGAAGTCTGTCCTCCAACTATGGCACCTTGCTTGGTGGCTACACAGGGCGTTAGAAGATGAAGGTGACGGGATCATGTAAAGCATACAGGGACCATATTCAGCAACAACCTTGCCGATTGCGGCAGCTTCGACATTATAGATGGTGTAATCACTTGCTCTGGAAACGAGGTGGCCATTGGGAAGAATTGTAATTTGTTTCTATGGATGTCTCAGCACAAGCTGCAGGACAAGAACTATCTAAACACTGGGTATTTACTCTATCTGCAAACTCTTCACACAAAGCTTCATATTTGTCCTCCCTATCGCAGGCGTTCACTCTGCGCCAAGAAGATCAGTACTGGTCGGAGATTAAACATTATAGCTATAGATTTATTGTTAGCTTCTGCGATTCCAAAAGGTAACAAAAACTGCAGAAGTAGTTTGATTGATTCAGACAAAATAAAATAAGGTAGCTGAGATTTTTCATCATTGAAAGCCAGCTTCCGACCTGGTACCAGAATGGTAGTCAGGTCATCTGAAGGCGATACTCGAGCCAAATGCACTCAGGTCATCATTATAAGAGGAATGAGGGTGAGAAAAAAGAGGGTGCTTACCATTGCAAAAGCGGGCTCAACGAAAACTCAATTGGGGGAATTACCTCCATCCAGCATCGCTGAGCCTGCGGGCATACATCTTGCCCATATCACCCATACCAATAATGCCGATAACAAAATTGTCCATCTTTCCTTCAAGATTGGACTTGGTTGAAGTCGCCATTGTGCGTGATACTAAACCAGCAACTCCGGCAAACTGTGTATTTTAAATACCCTTGGTGAGTTCCCAAACCGAGGCCAATGGTCTGAATTCGACACGATATGAAAAATCGGAGAATCTCAGCGCATGGAAAATATTTGTTGTTGTGGTTGTGTATGAAAGAAAAGTTCCAGTCGCGCGACGGAAACTTTATGCCTTTTTTTTTGAAGCCCCGTAACGCTAAGGAAAGCTGTGCACCATTCCTAATTCAGATTAGCGCGCACAAATTCGCCAAATTTTGGAATTCGAATCTCTACCCATTCATTTTGAAAACCTCTGATATTTTCGAAAACTTCGTCGATCAATCCTTCAGCAACTAACCGTCAACATGCCTCCAAAGAAAGCAGCACGCCCAGCGCAAGAGAACATCAACCTTGGTCCTTCGATCAGGGAAGGTAAGCAATTTTTAATTCCTGGAGGAATTTTGTACGGATTGCTAACCCCGCTGTGCAGGTGAACTCGTTTTCGGTGTCGCCCGTATTTTCGCATCTTTCAACGATACCTTCGTTCACGTCACTGATCTTTCGTACGTACCCTCCAGCAAAATTTCATAGTCAGGAATTTAGTGTTTTGATTTCATATATTGCACATTTTGGAACGAAAAGGTTCATAGGCTGACTTTCTGGGTGATTCCAGTGGCCGCGAAACCATCTGCCGTGTTACCGGTGGAATGAAGGTCAAGGCCGATCGTGACGAGTCTTCCCCATACGCTGCTATGTTGGCTGCTCAAGATGTTGCTACCCGCTGCAAGGAATTGGGCATCACTGCTCTCCACGTCAAGATCCGTGCTACCGGAGGTAAGAACACATTCAAGAAATCTTCAAATTGCGGCAATGAAATCTAATATCAACTCTTTACAGGTAACGGAACCAAGACCCCAGGTCCAGGTGCTCAATCCGCTCTCCGTGCCCTTGCCCGTACCGGCATGAAGATTGGCCGTATCGAGGATGTCACCCCAACTCCATCCGACAGCACCCGTCGCAAGGGAGGTCGTCGTGGTCGTCGTTTGTAGACGTGTCAATTCTTTGGCTACACGCATGGAGCAGAATATGGGTTTTATTGTGCAATTGATGACAACTACGCGGGGAACGGCATTTACTGCCTGGTCTCCATATCTCAAATCTGAAATCTGGGCTTGGATCGACCTTGTCTCATTTGTCACATAAGCGCTTTAGCAAAGTGCAGCCATGAATGTCACGAATTTTCAAATGACTTCAATCAAATCGCGCCTGCCTATTACATGTGATGTGACAATTGTGTTTGTATACTCTATCAATCGCAAATATATACGAAAGTGCCCTTCTTGAATATCAATCTTAATTGTATACTTTATCAATCGCAAATATATACGAAAGTGCCCTTCTTGAATATCAATCCTAATATACACCGCTGAATTATCCATGCCCAAATGACCCCTTTGTAATACCAAGTAATCCTCCATTTCAGAACTTCTTAAACCATGCCACATCCATTAATATGAGCCTCTTCAGAACACCATCTCCCATTGCACCTCGACCTAGATACACCCTCCATGCCAGCCTTGTATAATACAACCCAAAACCAAGCCATTATTCCATCCATCTATAACGGGTATCCAGTGATCATAATGTCGAAGGAGAAAGCCATTAAATCGTGAGTATATGCTCTTGGAGTAAGCGAGAACTCAAGAAGTTGTAATTAAAAAGGTTGTGGTAATACACTTGCTTCATCCTGTTTCTCGGGGAAGAATCAGGGGAGCTGAGAATTGAAAGTTCGAAAAGAAAGCTGCGGAATGAGTAGTTGAAAAAAAAGTCGGGAAAAGGAAAGCCGAATAAAAGGAGAGTCGAAGATTAGGATACGTTTCAAAGAGCCCACGAGAAACCAGAGCGGCTGATGCGATTGGTCTTGGACTTCTTGGGCTTGTCAGATTTGCGACCTAGAGACGCAACACGAGGATTTGGTTAGACTATTGGTGGGAACGAAAGAAATGATGGGGAAGCAGGGAGGAGGCCGCAAACGCAGGAGATGGTATCGGAGACAAATAGTGTTGGATAAGAACTATGTAATAAGTGGTGTAGAGTACAAGCAGTGTGTGACATGATTTGAATTGCTACAGAATTATTCGATCCTTCTCGAGTCCTTCTTCATCGAGATCGACTATCATTGGCGCGTACTCACCTCGTTCATCCTCGTCTTCGAAATCCTTGAGCTCGGCATCAATCATCTCTCCGTCCTCCAGCTGAAATTTTCCAGACCTAAGATAATTTCCTCGTAGATCCCAGCCCCACTTCCACAGCCACGACTCAAAGGATTCGAATGCCTTACCTACCTCCTCTTGGTCGCGTGTAATATTAGTACCGTAGGAGAGAAGTTGTTCATTCAAGCGGGACTTGAACTTGGTAAGAACGATCTTCAAATCGTCGCCAAGATGAGAATCATGATCGAATATACTAGTGTCGAATCCCTCTTCATCATACATAAACTGGGCATGGACGGCGGTGATGACCTTACGGAAGAAACCCGGCTGATCCATAGAAAGACGATAGGCTCCAAATAGCTTGGTGACGATGATACCCCACTGTTCCATACACGCAAGGTTGCCGAGGACCATTCCGGTGATGTAACAGAATTGTAACTCTCCAATAATCTCATCAGAGTCCTCATATGTGCAACGTCCGATAGCCTCAACAATATAAGACGTACTATCGATTGCTTGCTCGGTGCGCTCGCGACCTGAAGAAGATTCTGAGAAGGTACGGGCATTTCTTGGGAAAACGAAGTTTAGAAATTCGTCTCCGTCGAAATTTGTGCTGCCACCCTTAACGTCACGAGGTGCGCTTGAAGCCTGTAGTTCTGTAGTTTTGATGTCATGACTAGACGAGACTTTCCAACTATTCCACTCGCCACCCGTGACTCTCTTGAGGTAGGGGTGTTTGATGCAGAAGGTTAAGCGACGCCACTTGTCGGTGTCATCGATACTGTGGGCAGTGATTGGAGAACTTGGAGAGCCAACGGGAGTTGACGACGTAGAAGTAGAGGGGACGGGATCTGGAGTCGACGGAGCACTCAAGTATGGCTCGAGCTTGTTGACGATTTCAGAGACGCTTGACTTTTGGATGCGCTTTTCAGCTTCGCTAAGCTCTTCCTCCAAGGACTCGTGGTAACTATCCCATCTTAAGACATGAATGTCACCCAATTCATCCGAGGCCAACTTCATTGTCATCAGCCAAAAACCGGTTCGTGAAGATCCATTGCCGGACCCACCCCAAAAAAAGTGAGCACCCGCCGGGATCTGCTTGACGCCCTCAAGTGTTCCCTCAGTCTTAATGGTATAGGCCTTTGTATCATACCCAAAAATTGTACCGACTGGAAGGTTTCGAATGATGACGGCATCACCATGCTCCAAAATTTCGTGATGCTCCATACCACGCTCTCCGGTTGGCGATGGGGAGTGGACTCTTAACGTGCCAAGGGGATAGCTTCCAACCACATTGACAGAAGTGACCGACTTTTCTGATTTCATTGACAAAACCGAAGTATGCGAATTTGATTTCAGTAGTGTAGTTTTGCTAACTTCTCCAGCATTACTTGCGTTAGAATCACCACGCGATCGCCTCTGTCCATCATCGCCATGGGTGATAGCAAGTGACGCAAAACCCAGTCTTGGACTGCTTCCATTGGATTTAATTGATAATTGGCTGGAAAGGACTGACACATGTGATTTAGCGGTCGAAGGGCTTCTTTGTAGGGAAATCTGATGCTGAATGAAAGAAGGGTCAGATTTTGTTGTTGATTCTTCGATCTTGGTTGTTTCCGAGATCGACTCGTCCATAGTAATTGGAGAGGAGTTATTCAAAATTGTGTCATTAACAAAAGGGTCTTCACCGATGTTTGGCATTGTGAAAGTTCCTGCAATAAAGCAACCTGAAGATTGTGGTATTTGTGAATAAACAATTTTGGAAATTATAAGTGTGTGGATGGATAGTCTCAACGTCACAAAATAATTACCGAAGTAACCAAAACTAACAGATAAATAATAATAAGACTTCGGCCGCTTTTCTCCGAACTTGGCCGATTGGATCTTCGAACTCAAAATGTGTTTGTTGGCGTGGAGTTTATTATTTTGAGGAGGTAAAATCCAAACTTGGCGGCTTTACCAAATTTTGAGAGAAATTAACTCAACGTTTTTCTAAGACTAAAGCCCACTAGGACTTTTCATCTAGAAGTCTTTCAGATGAGATATATCTGCAAATGGTAGCATTGTACTCCTGATGAAGACTTTTTCAATATGTGACCATCTAGAAACTTTTTTGATATTGGTCGGCTCCGGAATAACAGAAAGGCCGATTCTCCCAAAGTTGCCAGACATTGAAACATGAGTTCACATGTGTAGTAACCCTTTCTGAAAGATTTGAGGCAAGAGGTTATCCTGATTGATGGCATCCATTCGAGATTAGATTCTAGCTCTGTCTGATTGCAAGAAGGTACAAATTTATTATTCATATATTATATTGTCTTTCTAACATGTGTTGAACCTGATCGCCCTTTTCGCTTATGTAACCTCAAAGTCAATGCAGCAAGGGTCCCACATGGCGGAGAAGCCCCACCATTTTGACATCAGTTTAAAGCTTCCTTATTCCATCGAAATCGGTATCCCTACATAGTACGCCAAAAATAGAGCACTGCATGGAATTGCTATTGCTGCAGCCTTGAAAGGATGAGTTCAGGTCAAACAACTGCGCCGATTGCCTCTGGTCAGTCTGGAACAAATGTAGGTGGAAATGCTCAACAGACTGCGGGTTCTGAGCCTGAAGAAGTATGGGATGAAGCAAAACTCGAGCAGGCGATGAAAACTCTAAAGGAAATGCACATTCAAGTCAGCCCCTTCTTTCCCCGAAGAAAATCACAGTGAGCATTAGCTGACACGGTATTTAGTGTCGCAATCTACGATCTACAATTCCAAGACTCCTCACGCCTTTGGCAACCAAGCAGCAATCACGTACGTTTCAATTCTACGACTCCAATTCCCAGCTTCTGACATTTGTAGCTGACCAATACAAAAAGCCGAGCAGCTCTTTTCTTCCTTTCAACAAGCCGCAACAACTTCAAATAAGGAAGTTCGAGATTTCACACGATTGATGAAGGATGAAGAGGGTGTGAAACTCTTTGAGCATGCAAAGAAGAGTCGAGCTGAGAATCCACATGGAATAAAACCATGGAGAGTTACAGAACATCCTGATTGGCTTGATAGAGATGCATGATTTTCTCACCGCGACAATACATTTCGACATGCTCAGACCGGAGAATGTGCTATAGAATCTAGGCGTACTTGCGGACTTTTGGGTAGAGGGCAGGTCTTGGGATATTTGGTATGGGGCGTTGGGCAAATTTGATAGCACACGGCGGGAAAGACATATTTCGATATCCTAATAACCTAGAGTGGAATGCTCCTACCAACAGTAATGGTACCCTTTCTCTATTCTACGATCAATCATATACGATGAATCATAAATCTACTCATACATTTTCCGCAGGATTTATTTAGAGAAACTCTGCACATCTGAAATACCCAATAGCGGCTGAATACCTTCGAAGATTACTTGTGTTCCTGAGCTCAGGCCTCATCAACATTATCGCAGAGTACTGTAACATACAACGAGCAATGTCACAGTTATTATTGACGATCTAAACACGTAATTATTATCTGTACCATACCTTGAAATAATTGTATGAATGCAAATGTGTGACCAGTGGATGATCCATTATATATGAATGAAATTCACAATGCATCGACTTCTTTCAAGGTTCAGAACAATGTGCTAACTAATCGGATGCCGATTTCTAATTGGCTTATGATAATTTTTCCGACCTTTGAAGCTGTGTCCTCAACCAACGCCAAAATTGAGTGAATAGTATAGAATTGAATTTACGAAATCGTCAGTCATCTTGATTCTTTATTACTTTGATAATTTATTTCTTCAATTCAAGTTGATGCGTACTTGCCACTATTCAACTTATTGATCTTTTTGTTAGGGCACGAAGCCATTTTGGTGCCAAAAAGGTCGCTTAATTTTTTTCTGCCCCGCGCATCAACAATCCTACGGGCAACCTTTTCGACACCTCTAGGCTTACCAAATCTCAACACCATCAACATGTCTAGATTTTTCCGCGGTGATAGCTCCAGCGACAGCTCCTCCGACGAGGAGGAGGATCTCTATTCCGATGACGAAGAAGTTCAAGAACAGCCCGAAGAAGAATCTTCTGAAGATGACTCTGAGGAGGACGATGATGATGATGATGACTCCGATTCCAGCAGCGATGATGGAGTTGGCAAAAAGACCGGAGCGAACGCTTTCTTGAAGGACGATTCCGATTCCGATAGCGAGAGTAGTGGAGATGAGGGCGTGAAGGTCGTCAAGTCTGCGAAGAACAAGCGATTCGAAGAACTCGAGGCAACCGCAAAAGCTATTGAAAATGGCGAGAAGATTAACGATTGGGGATCGATCTCAGCAGGTCAGTAAAATCTATCCAAGAAATCACAGGGAAATCTAGCTAATTAATTTGTTGTAGAGTTCGACAAATTGAACCGCCAAGTCGCCAAACTTCTACAATCAGGCACAATCCCAAAGGTCTACATCAAAGCTATTGCTGATTTGGAGGATTTCATGAATGAGACCTTGGCAAAGCAGAAGGTGACACCAAAGAAGATGAACGCCACAAATTCTCGCGGTTTGAACGCTGTTAAGCAGAAGATCAAGAAGGCCAGCAAGGAGCACCAGAAGGACCTAGAATCATTCAGAGCCGATAAGGACGCGTACATGGAATCAGAAGACGAGGAAGTTGTGGCACCAAAACCAAAGAAAACAAAGTCCTCTTCTGCAGCACAGGATGTTGCCGCCGATGATGATGATGAAGGGTGGGGAACTGTTGGTAAGGGTGGACGAACTCTTCAATTCACACCAGAGAGCATTCTCAAGCATTTGAGGACCATTCTCGAATCCAGAGGAAAGAAGAACACCGACCGCAATGAACAAATTAAGATTATGGAGAAGTTGTACGAAGTAGCAGCCACTCCATACCAACGCATCAGAGTCCTATTAACCCTCATTTCAACGAGATTCGACATGACCACTGGTACTCAAACTTTCATGTCCCAAGAACAATGGAAGGCAGCAGAGAAGGAATTTGCAACCCTCCTGAGTGTGCTTGAGACAAGTCGAGAATATGCAGTTGTGGAGACCGCTGAACCTTGGGAGGATGATGAAAAGCTTCCTACAGTTGCCGAAGGCGCAAAGTTCGCGATTCCAGGAAGCGTCGTCTCCTATGTTGAAAGACTTGATGATGAACTTACAAGATCGCTTCAACACATTGATCCTCACACTGCTGAATACATCGAACGTCTTTCTGACGAGAGTGATCTTTACAACAACATTGTCAGAACTATGTTGTACCAGGAGGAGATCAGCAAGGACGCCAGCTTGAACGAGCCTCAACGTAGCTTGAACAGAGTCGTCATGAGAAGGTTGGAGCACGTATACTTCAAGGTTTGTAATATCTCATCTCCGTATCTTAATTTTTTACTCATAATTCTATAGCCATCCGCAGTCATCAAGATCCTCGACGAAAACTGCTGGAAAGCAGTTCCTGCAGAGCTCAATTCCACCATCACACCACGCGGCTCCGTTGAAGATGCCAAGACCTTGGTCAACGTTCTCTGCAATTACCTCTACATCAACACCGAGGGTGAAGGACTTACTAAAGCAAGAGCTATGCTTTGCCAAATCTATTTTGAAGCTTTACACGACAACTATTACAAGGCTCGTGATATGATGCTTATGTCCCATTTGCAAGAGACTATCAATTCTTTCGATGTTCACAGTCAAATTTTGTTCAACCGTACTCTTGTTCAAGTTGGTCTCTGTGCTTTCCGAGCTGGTTTGGTCTATGAGGCTCAAACCACCCTCCAAGAAATCTGTGGCAGCGGCCGTCAAAAGGAATTGCTTGCCCAAGGTGTCATGATTCAAAGATATAACCAAGTCACACCAGATCAAGAACGTCTCGAAAAACAACGTCAACTCCCATTCCACATGCACATTAACCTCGAGCTCCTTGAATGTGTTTACCTCACCTGCAGCATGCTTCTCGAAATTCCTCTGTTCGCACAGACTGGCTCATCCCCTGATATCAAGAAGAGAGTCATCAGCAAGACATACAGACGTATGCTCGAATATCATGAGCGTCAAATCTTTACTGGACCTCCAGAAAACACCAGAGATCATGTCATGCAAGCATCAAAGGCCTTGGCCCAAGGTGAATGGAAGAGAGCAACCGAATTTATCCACTCTATTAAAATTTGGGAACTTATGGCCAAGCCTGAGGAGATCAAGGCAATGCTCTCAGCGCAAATCCAAGAAGAAGGTCTCCGAACCTATCTCTTTACATACGCTCCTTATTACGATACTCTATCCGTCAACAGACTCTCATCAATGTTTGACCTCTCTGACCGAAAGGTTGCTGCCATCGTTAGCAAGATGATCAGCCACGAGGAACTTGCAGCCGCATTAGACCAAGTCAACTCCTCGATCATCTTCAGAAAGGGTGTTGAGTTAAGCAGACTCCAAAGCTTGGCATTGAGCCTCAGCGACAAAGCTAGTGGCTTGATTGAAAGCAACGAGCGTACACTCGAGACAAGAACACAAGGCACAGCCAATGCTTTCGAGAGACAAGGCGGCCGAGGTGGACGTGGTGGTAACAGAGGAGGTCGTGGTGGTAACCGTGGTGGACGTGGTGGTATCTCCAATGCTCCAAGGCAAGCTGGTGGAACACAATTTACCGGTGGCGCTTTGGGAGCTGCTGTAGGTAGCAGAGCTTAAATACGGATGGATAGATGTGTTAATGCATTGGGAATGGGTTGCTTACAGCGCTGTAATTGGCCCAAAGGCGTTTTAATGTAGGGCTTAGGAAAAGCTAGGTTCATGCTCCACGAAGACAAAAGAATGAAATTTTTTGATCATATTTTTGGTGTTACATTTAAGGCTCCTAGACCTGAATTCCTAAACCTTTATCACTTATTTTAATGTCTCATTTTGCGAGGCAGAAGATGTATCACATATCGAAACAGACTTTTTTCGGATTCAAGGCAATCACGCACAGAAGAGACAATAAAATATGTTACCAGTCAATCCGGAGAAACATTTTACTGCCAATCTCCATTAGTATTTCGAATAACGTTACCAACAATAGAAGCTTCCACGTTTTAGATTTGGCACTCTAGTTTGTACATCTCACTTCATCTCATTTCACCAACAATCATGTTACATGTGCACTCGAGACCAACGATTGACGGGACGCTGTCCAACTTTTTTTTTTACTTTCTAATAAATCCAGTCTTCAATTAATCTAGCTCCGAATATACAATCTCGTCATTCGATTCAAAATGTATCACTTCTTGGAATCTCCAAATCTTTAGATCCTGGTGATCAGCATTTTCATTCACATCTATCTCCAAAATCCGTCGTCTCAGTGTCTCTCTCGTCACTCTGTACAACCACCGATGAAAAATTTCCCCAGACCTCACCTCGCACAATGCTGGCTTCAGACTTCGGGTATGACCCCCCACAACGGTGTTGCACAATGTAAAGTGATAGAAGGGCTGACTGAAACATGTATGTATGTTAGACCGTTGGTGATCGATCGGTGAGGAGGAGGTACGAAGTAGGTACGGTGGGTGGAACGGATGGGTGGGTGATACAGATATAGGTACGGGTACGGGTACGGTGCTGGGGAGGTTTGAGTTTTGTGGAGAAATGCGGAGAACCCGGTTGTGGAGAGATGGGGGATGAGGAATTGTGTGGGAGTGTTATGTGGTTAGATTTTTGTGAGGTGGGATTTGTGCCGAGGTGGTAGATCGAAAAATAGTTGGGTACCTATACATGTATATGTATATGTATCGTGTGCATATCAGTTCATACCTACGCGGTATAAAGATCTGATTTTCTATACCATACTATACTATACTACACCATTCCATCGAACCGAGCTATCCTACTCAAAATCCCATGCCGATGAGATTCGAACATCATGACATGATCCCCAAACGCGAGTACGCGAGATGGAGGGTTACATGCATATCTCGTATAGAAACTTGATTACAGAGTTTCTCGTACCGAACGAGGATTTCCAATGTTACGGTTGTGATTGATGAGGTCATGGTAGGGTGAGAGTTACTGTAGGACTGTAGGAGAAGATCATAGTCATATTGTCCTGTACTGATCTGGCGGAGAAAGGGAATGAGGGGTACAGATACAGGAGATACTTGGGACACTTAGGATACAGGGGATGGGATACGAGCCGTGTGTCTGATGATCGATTTCGTAGGTAGATGAGTAGATGAGTCGATAGAGATTTCATTTACGGATATCTCTCGTATTGTAATCTACGACATCCTCATATATCCTCCTAGACATGTACTACCAACCCTAAATCTCTAAATGTCTATAAAATCCACACCCTCCCCCCCTTTTCCCATATCATATCTTCACTTCTTCTTCATCCTTGAGTATTATCCTCAACATCATCAATCTCTCCAAGAACTTCCAGAAATAAACCTAACAAACAAACAAATAAAAATGTATACCAATCTCCTCCTCATCACCGCATTCGCAACATCAGCTCTCGCGGTCTCGGTCCCGGGCGCAGTAAGTTCTTCAAGTTTCATTCCGGATGTGCAGTGGAAGGTTTCGGGGTTTACGAGACGTGAGTTTTGATTCTTTTTGTGTTGTGGTTTGATGTTTGATGTTTTATGTTTTGATGGTTTGAGGAGGAGGGGAGATTTGTTTCCTAGGGGAGGAAATGCGGGATAAGTGGATGAGGAGGAGAAGGGGAGATAAAGATAAATATGAGGATGTGACAAAATGTGAAGGAGACGAAATGACATGAAAGAAAAGTCTCTATCAACAGAAAAACATACTAACCCACACCCAGCATGTACCGCCACAATCTGCACATACAACTTCACTATCAGTGTGATCCCCAGCAGTGGTCCCATAGTCAATAGTACGTTCCCCCTCTCCTCCCATCCTCCCATCCACCCCCATCTAACACCCCCACCCCAGTCCCCTGCCTCTACAACGACTCCTCCAGCACACCCCCCACATCCTCCACCCCCCAAACACACTCCTACTCTGCGCTCTCCTGCAGCAGCAGCCTCGTCGATGGCAAACCGGTCCCCAGCCCTTGGCAGGTAAATTGGGGATATAATCCCAATGGAGATTTTGCGGTCATGACGATTGTGGATACCGAGAAGGGGAATGATGCGTTTTTGTGAGTTTTTGGTTTCTTTACTTTGGGTCTTTGGTTGTTTTTAGAGGGGGGAGGGGAGAGATGATCAATGAGGAGAAGGGGATGATGTGTATTTTCAACCTCGCGTTCCAATCCCCCTTAACTTCTCTTCCCCCCTTCCCTCCTCTCCCCTCCACCCCCTCCACCCCCTCCACCCCTTCCACCCCTTCCACTCCCCAAAAAACAAACAAACTAACCCTCCCCTCCTCCCCAAAACAGCGGCTGGAACCAAATAACCAGCACCAGCACCACCACCTTCGAAGACAAAGGACCCAACACCGTTTACAAACTCGGTACATTTACCTAAACCATATGGATATTTCGATTTCCATCCCAGATTTCCATTCCGGATTTCCAACCCATTCCAAATTTCAACCCCATTCCGGATTTCCAACCCATTCCAAATTTCAACCCCATTCCAAATTTCCAACCCATTCCAAATTATTTTTTTCATCTCCAGGAACCGATTATCGACAACTTCCCCTTTTCAACCTTCAACCCTCAACCTCCCATTTCCCTCCCTCCTCGCCCACTTACCACGTACTCGAGAGACCCAGCCAGAAAGAACTTGGCTCTGCTTCCTTCCTTCCTTCCTTCCTTCCTTCCTCCCTAGCCAGAGAAACCCTAACTCGCGAGTGAACAAATATCTCAAAGTGTGAGTGAGAAAAGGATCCGGACGCAGTTGCACAAGTGAGTGTGAACGGGCTATTGGAAGGTGGAACGTGGAACTTGGAACTTAGAACTTGGATCTTAAAACTCAGGAGGTGAATTACTGGCTGTGTGTTTTTTCTTTCTTTATTTCTTTCTTTATTTCTTTCTTTCTTTATTTCTTTCTTTATTTCTTTCTTTCTTTCTTTCTTTCTTTCTTTCTTTCTTTCTTTATTTCTTTATTTCTTTCTTTCTTTCTTTCTTTATTTCTTTCTTTTTCTCTCTCTCTTTCTTTCTCTCTCTCTCTCTCTCTCTCTTTCTTTCTTTCTTCCTCTTTTTCTTTGGCGGGGATAGTAGGGGGACGGACAGTTTTGATTTGATTTTGATTTTGATTTGATTTGTCTTCAGTTTCATTCTAGTTCTGATGTTTGGCTTGATTTCGACTATGTTATTTCACGAATTAGAGAAGCGAGGTGGCAAAAGATATGGATGGATGGATGGATGAAGGAATGGATCTGCGTACCAAAAAAGGAGTGATTTAGAAAAATGGATATCATCAATGCGAAAGTCTACCCACTTGATATTTGGAGCTTCATCAAAGATGAGATTGACATGTGAATAAATCCCGTTTGCCCAAGAGAAGAGAACTCCAATATCAACATTGAGGCAAGAAGCCTGATTCAAGTAATTGTTGTATTCTTGATTCATCTATGATGACAATCCTATGTATCCGACTATTGCACCGACTCCACCGGGCGGTCCTAACCGAAGCACTAAAGGATATCTTCCAACGCCCTTCGCCAATGCATGCATATAGATGCTATGGTACAAAAATTTGTTAAATCTACCACCCATTCCCATCTACTACACCTCCATATATATTCCCACCCTTTCCTGAACGCCTCGATAACATCTAATGAAATGCTCAATCGTATCAACTATTTGAATTCATCTTTCAGAACCCACTTAGCCCTCATCCTACTATTCGTGCCATGTTCACATATTGCAACTTCTGTTAGAGTATGCTTGAATTCAGCCGTCACTCGATCAGAAGTACAATATCGATTAAAATGGTTGACTACGGCCTGACTTGGAACTGAACCGCCCATTCTCTTGATGAAATCAACAATCATCTTAGCAAAATCATGACGTTGACGCCCAGCTGGACGATTTGGAGTTTCAGCGCGTGAGCTACTCGAGCTAGAAGGCTGCGTGATACCTTGTCTGTTTGAAAGACTTGATAAAACACTTGATGAACTTGGACCTGCACCTCGTCTAACATTAGTCGGTCTGCCGGCGGATCCATATTCTCCAGTCCAAGTGACAGTTCCAGGTGCAATGCTTCTTGCTGCTTCTCCAGCACGTCTCAGTGCTGTAGCAGATTCAGCAGCAATTCTCTTAGCTTCACGCTCAATCATGCCACGGTCTGCCGCGACCTTCATCTTCCCATTAATGATTTGATCGTGTTCAAGAGCACTATGGACTCCAGAACGAGCAAAGATGCCTTCCATTAATCTAGACTCTTCGTTGTTATCTTTATCTTTCTCCTCAGAAGGATCATTGAATTGCTCGAGTTCAGCAACACCAGCGAGATTACGAAGATCGGATTCTGAATCACCTTGACCAGGGTCGGCAGACAAACTACGAGATGACGAAGGACTGGAAGTCTTGTTGAATTGCACCTCTGTACCTTTGAACATTTCACCAGTCTCTGTGGTCCCACCATCTTGGTCACCAAGAGTAAATAGGTCATATAGGTCCTTCATAGCAAATGTTTGTCGCTGCTTCGGATCCTTGAGAATTTTGTTTGTAAGAAACTGCTTGAAAATTTGTCGATGATAGATCTTCTCTTCTATAGTACCAGCAGTCATAAGACGGTAAATGGTGACCTCCTTCTTTTGACCAAGACGCCATGCACGTTCTCGAGCTTGTACGTCGGTGGATGGATTCCAATCAGGATCAAATATGATTACCCGGTTTGCACCAGTGAGATTAACCCCGAGACCTCCAACTTTGGTGGTGAGGAGGAATACATGCATGTCAGGATCATTGTTGAACTGATCGACGAGAGTTTGTCTATCCTTGACTGCTGTACCACCATCCATACGAAGATAGTTGAATCCACCAAGTTTCTTGACGAACTCCTCAAGAATATCAAGCATCTGAACACCTTGACTGAAGAGTAGAGTCTTGTGTCCATAGCCCTTCCACATTTGCAAGAGTGCCTTTACAACTTGCATTTTCCCTGATTTATTTCCATTGCCCCACTTGTAATCGGGCTTGGTTTTCAATCGTTTATCTAAAAGATCTGGATGATTGCAGATCTTGCGCAGTATGTCAATGCCATAAAGCGATTGACGACTGCGATTTAGAATTGATTTCATGTCATCAGATGCAAGGAACATTTCATATGCATCTCTTTGAGGTCGCGTAAGCTTGCAGAACAAGACCTGCTCACTCTTCTTTGGCAGATCTGCCGCAACATCAACCTTTAATCGTTGAAGTAAATATGGACTGATCGCATCTTTCAAAGTTTCAGCACATTTAGTAGCCGTGAGGACTTGTAGATTGGTGGCATTCGCGTAACCTCCGATTTTGATAGGAACTTCGAATGATTGTCGAAAATTGACCAAAGTACCTAAACGCATAGGAAAGACGAAATCAAACAGTGACCACAGCTCTATTAACCCATTCTGCATGGGAGTACCCGAGAGAATCACACGATTGGGTGTACGTAGTTCTTTGCAGTAGATAGTGACAGCAGTGTTAGGGTTTCGAATCTTATGTCCCTCATCCAGTACAGCGTAATCCCAGTCAACATTGATGAGGGTATCACTATAGGTCTGAAGTCCAGCATATGTGGTGACCAAGACATGGCCATGCTTGACAACACGATCGACAATTTTCTGAGCAAGCTTTTGCGACTTTGGAGCTTTCTTGGTTGTTTGACCATAAAGAATCTCATCCTCTTCGTCTTCCAGTCTGCCTTCATTTCCAACGTTGAGCATGCCGGTACCAGAACTATGCAAAATCGAAACTCTCAAGGCCGGCCACCATCGATGAAACTCATTAACCCATTGTCGAAGGACAGTTGCAGGAGCAACTACAATAACAGGCTTTGTAAGCTTTTTACTGTAATGTAAACCGGCTAAGAAGGATATCATCTGGATGGTCTTGCCAAGACCCATCTCGTCTCCAATGATACCTCCAACTTGTTGATTGTAAAGTTCCGACAACCATTGAACACCAGTCTTTTGATAGTCAAAGAGCGCAGGGAAGATATCACCAGGCAATTTTAGACCGTTTTCAAACTCATGATCAGGTTGTCCTGGGCATGGCTTGAACCATTCCTTTTCCAGGGAATTTTCTGCAGCTGCATCCTCCTCATTTTGAGGATTATTTTCTAGATGCTGTCGTCGTGCAGCGCTTCGTTTCTCCACCCATTTTGCAAGGCGTGCTTGATACATATTCTCGTTTCCATCATCAATCCCGACCAAGCTCTGTGCCTCGTCTGTTCGAGCTTTGCCCGGCTTAGACCTCTTCTTAGTCGCAGTACGAGCTGTCATCAAGGCATCATCTTCGTCATCTTCATCATCCAATTCCTCGTCTTCATCGGCTAGATCTTCAGGGCTAAAAGCATCATCATCTGCTGGAGGTGAACGAGCGGGAGATACATCTGCAAAGGAGCTATTGGCGAGCCTTCTCTTCTTTCGAGGACGAAGACCAAATTCACTCTCAGTTGTACTCAATTTAGTATCTGCGACATCTGCGAACCCTGGTAGACGAAGATTCTGATGTGATCTAGGCTCCGCTTGAACATTTCCTGATTCGTTGTCATCCTTCTCTTCCGCATCCCTTAGCGCATCAGTAAGTGCCGATTGAACATGATCGGTAGCTGCATCTGAAGTTTGTTGAAATGGGGTAATTTTTCCTGTGCGAATCAGGAATTCTCTTTGGCTTTCATTAGGCATTCGTCTGCTTCCACCAGCAGCGTCAGCTTCGGCATGGTTATCATTGTGCTGATGCCTTTCATCGATTCGCTTTTGTATGTCGGTAATGTCATTCTTGAAAGCAAAAATGTCGGCTTCAATCTTCGAGATCTCATCCATGCACCTTTGGCGCATCAATGGGTTGTTCGAGAGATTATTGAGACGGCGTTCTTGGGCATGTTTCTGAGTCTCGAGTTTCTCGATACCATTCCGAACCTTTTCAATGCGCTTCTGGTCCCGCTGATCTTCTTGCTCGATCATTACCAGATTGGCTTGGTTCGTAATGTCTCGTTCGAGGTCATCCTGATTGCGAACCGTTTCAGTCAAACCGGCTAGAGCACTGGCTTCATCTTGAGGTTGCTGCTGGCCAGTCTATTTAGGAATAATGTTAGTATACTTGGGAGCAGGTGTTAGAGCAGGGGGGAGCCTGGGGGCCTAGAGCACTTTGAATGTCTGAGATAACCTTGAACACTGTGAAGTAGAATTCGTGGAAGGGGGGCATTTCAACATACCAATCTCTCCGATCCAAGACTGTAGTCTTTTGTATCTACATCGTTATCGCTGAGGAGTGCCTCGTCGGCAACAACGGCCGCAGCTTCTTGGATAGTATCAGTGTGTTCTCGGTGAAGTCTAACATTGTGATGAGGTGGAGACATGCTCTCCGATTTGATATGAGTTGAATTATCACGACGATTGTGAGGCTCGGTAGATGAACTCATGTTGGTCATTCATCAACCTAGTGGATGTTGATTGATTCTGGAGAAATGGAAGATTGTTGTAAAAGGAAACCCGTACAGTATGAAAGGGAACGTGTATATTAATAATTTGTGGGCAGGTAGAAGGGTTGAAGAGGGAGGTCGAAGGTGAACACTACTACCTAGGTAGGCAGGTACCGTAGGTAATGATGAGAGGCGACTACGGCACTGGGTGAAGTGAATTAATTAAGATACGGAAAACAAACCTTGGATTTGATTAAGGATAGCAAATAGTTTACGGATAGTAATAAGTTAATGAAGTCGTCCTTCAATGAAGAGAACAAGATGTGAAGATTCGCGGTCTCTCTTCACCATCGATACACTCGATCATTTGTCATGATGGGAAGAGAAAAAAAAGGATTGATATCGGATGCTTCTTCACCGTATGCGTCATTGGATTGATGTAGGTACTAGGTAGGGATTGATTGCTTGTGAAAATCCGGTGGTAATTATTTTAGTCGCGAGGGAGGCGAGGCTAGCCTTACTGGAGCTCGTGGAGTTGAGAGACTGAGGCAAGTGAGGCACGTGTGAGGGGACCATAGGAGCATAGGTACAAGTGTGGTATGAGATCTACAGCCTTATTAATAATATCTTAATAATCCAATCCTATTGTACGTGCACTTTACGTTGTATAAAATCTAGATCTTTAACAGACGGGTTTCTCTTTCATCTATTTCATTCTCACATCGTAGATGAGCATCTATATAGTACTTTGTAAGCATCTTATTAATTCACTGAATAGGTACAGAGTATATAATGTAATACGGCAAGTGGCTCAGTCAATTATCAATTAACTTCACCGGTGAACCAAACGTTGGATTGGGATTTCACATGGCTGGTGCTACCTACTCAGTACATACCTACTACTGGGATAAATTCGATGGAGCACCCATACTCATCAAATTTGCTTTTATTTTACTTTACTTATCTTTGAAACTTTGGGGGGTAATTCTTGGGAGGTGAATGATCAGATCAATAAGAATTCAATGCATTTGATTTACAGATAACGTCATTTGATAGATAGATTAATTTTCCTGCAAAGGTGTCACGATCAATAAGAAAGGGCATTCTTATTGAAGGGGTGATTTTGCTTGATTTTGTTTGATTTTAGCTTCTTCCCAACTGCTACAACCATTTGATCATTTGATACTTGGGTTTCCAAAGAACAAAGACGACCCATCCTTCCTTTCAAGAAAATGGGTTGGCATCTCTTTGACTTTGCTTCGAGATTAGACTTCGTATTTGGCTACTAGGGATTCTGGTGTATGCTCTCAGGGGGGTAGGTATGGCTGGACCTTGATTTGCTTGACACATGAAATAATAATCATAAACCACCAAAGGCATCTAATGATCTCCTTGAAACGCTTTCCAACAGGAAGTTGAAATGGTCTATATAGACATGAACGTTACCATGTTATGATAATAATACTTACCTATAGAGAGATTGTATCCATGAAGCTCTTCCACGGTTATGAATAGTATACAAAGTATAATACAAAGTAAGACTTACAATAAGAGGTACTGCGTGATTGTCTGCGTCGATTGTCTGCGTAAGCCAATGTCATCCTTCCAAACCATTGGGCATCCATATGGGCAACGTGCATCTATACCAATCCCAATCACATGTACGAGTACATACTAGGTATATATATATAAACAAATCATAAATATAGGTACTATCCTGTGTTGAATTCCTGTCTATATGAATGCTATCCTAAACCATACCACACCATACCACACCATACCATACCATACCATCTATCCCATCCATACCTACCTACCTACCTACATCGTAAACATTCTCTTTATTCCATCCACCCACCCATCCACCCATCCATCCATTCATTCATTGTTTTGGTGCCCAGGAATCTTGCTTTGCTCTAAGGAATAGTAATAATAATTTCATGCTTCCATTGGGCAACTCGTTAATAAAACCGTTCCCAGGTTCGCTACTCTTTTTTAGTTCACAAATCCCCCCCCCCCCCCGGCTACGGCTACGAAAAGCAACGAGGGTCCTATCCTATGTGGTGGTGTGTGTGAATCCATCAATTAATTCTAGGACACTTGCTTGCTACATCATTCCCCCCCCCCCCAGTCTCCAAGTGAATTCATCTACTACACTCCACTATCTCCAACTTCCTTTTTATTCACTCACCATGATATATTGAGCAGCATTTGGTACTCCAAAGGCGATTTTTGCCTCTGTATAGAGGTTGAATTGGTTTTATTGCGACGCGTTTCTCTACCCACGGCTTTCTGGTGGCAGACCTTTCGACAACATTGTGCGACATATCATATCTGCGTCCTGGATTATTCCTTCACAAAGGCGACAATTGTGCCCAATACCTTCAGAATTCCCCCACTCAAAATCTCGAGCATCTCCACAGTATCGCCAAAATGGACCAGTGGCAGAATTATTCTGAATCATCAGGTTCAAGAAGGTACAACGGAAACCCCCCACCAGCCCATCCCCAAATGGCTAGAGATTATAACGGGAACCCCCAAACCCAACCTCCAGCAGGTTTTACATACGACCAATATCAGGGAGGTCTAGGATCACATCCTCAATCTCTGGCAACTTCTCCTGCTATTCCTCAGATGACGGATGGAAACGGAGATGTGGCCATGCAAGACTCTGGAGATCAATACAATATGAAATATCCTATGCGCCCTCACCATCAACAACATCTTTCAGGCAACCAAAGGTTATCTCACCAGTCGCCGCAAGAACCATCTGCGGCGGCTCAACGTTATTCTCCAATGGAGACTTTATCGCCAACATCCCCGTATGGCGCAACGCAACAGCAAAACTCAAATCAATACATGTCACCACCGGGGGCTGGTAGCAGACAATCTCCTTCGAAGAATGCCTCGTATTCTTCACCAAACGCGTACTATCCTAATCGTCAACAATTGCCTCCCATTCAGCCGTATGCTTCGAATTCTAACAATGAATCATACCCAACTTCCGCGACCCAACAGCTAAATGACATGTTTGGTAATGATCAAAAGTCTCCTCGGCGGCCAGTACCTCAGTCGGCGCAAGGTCCACCTGGAAGAGGACCAGTTCCTGAATTTACCAAGATTCGTTCTACTTCTGATTTGCAACCAAAGGTTAATGCGCAACCGGCGTTTCGCAGGGCTAATCCAGAGGGCGGGTTCATAAGTGTAAGCTTCATTAATATGCGCAATACGATTGAAAATTGTGCTAAATAGTCCCCATTACAGCCCCTTCAAGCTCTCACGAGCCATCTCCCTTCTACCTATCGGATATGCAATCCCAGCTTCAAGTACGAATCCTCGCGGAATCCCCGCAGAGTGCTCACGAAACCAAGCAAAGGTGTCAAGAATGATGGATTCGATAACGAAGATAGCGACTATATACTTTATGTGAATGACATTCTCGGATCTGAGGAAACTACTCATAAGTATGTTTCGAGGTTGATATTAACTCTAGATTCCGAGGAATCCTCCTGCTAACACATTTCGCAGAAACCGCTATCTCATACTTGATGTTCTTGGTCAAGGCACCTTTGGACAAGTTGTCAAGTGTCAGAACCTCAAGACTCAGGAAGTTGTTGCTGTAAAGGTGGTCAAGAATAGAACTGCATACTTTAACCAAAGTATGATGGAGGTTTCCGTTCTAGACTTGGTAAGTTCTTGTCATGAAACTGTATCCCTCATTCACTGACTTCTATCTTTTTATTCTAGCTCAACACAAAGCTTGATAAGAACGATGATCACCATATACTGCGGCTCAAAGACACATTCATTCATCGTCAACATCTCTGTCTTGTTTTCGAATTACTCAGTGTGAATTTGTATGAATTGATCAAGCAGAATCAGTTCCGAGGCTTGAGCACCACACTTGTGCGAGTTTTTGCCCAACAACTTTTGAACGGTTTGAGCTTGCTGAACAAAGCGCGACTCATCCATTGCGATTTGAAGCCGGAAAATATTTTGCTCAAGAACCTCGAAAGTCCCATCATCAAGATCATCGATTTTGGATCAGCCTGTGATGAACGTCAAACAGTATACACATACATCCAGTCAAGGTTTTACAGATCCCCCGAGGTATTACTTGGCTTACCATATTCATCAGCTATCGATATGTGGTCATTAGGCTGTATTGTTGTTGAATTGTTCTTGGGTCTCCCTCTGTTTCCAGGATCCTCCGAATACAATCAAGTTTCCCGAATAGTGGAGATGTTGGGAAACCCACCAAACTGGATGCTTGAGATGGGAAAGCAATCCGGAGACTTCTTCGAGAAGAGGCACGATGTAGATGATTATGGCAGAAGAACATACCATCTCAAATCTATGGAGCAGTATTCTCGCGAGCATGGATCAAAGGAGCAACCAAGTAAAAAATACTTCCAAGCTACCACCCTCCCGGAGATTATTCGTTCTTATGCGATGCCACGGAAGAATATGAAGCCAAACGAAATAGAGCGAGGTAAGATAAAGCCCTGTACTTCTTGTGAACCTTTGGCTAACAACTGTATCGTAGAAATGAACAACAGAGTTGCTTTCATCGACTTTGTACGTGGTTTACTCAACATCAATCCTTTGGAGCGCTGGTCTCCACAACAGGCCAAGCTACATCCATTTATCACTCAACAAAAGTTCACCGGTCCATTCGTTCCACCAATGAATCTCAAGTCAAGTGCTATAAATAGATCTCCTGCCCCCGGAACGACACAGCAGCAGCAGGCTGAAGCATTGAGTAAGCAGCGAGCCCAGGCAGCTCAAGCTCAAGCCCATTCCCAGGCTCAGTCTGCAGCTCATGCTTCATACAATGCCGGTGTCCCGGTTAATTCATATGGCCAAGTGCCACCAAACCAGCAGCACCCGCCGATGTACAACAATAACAACATGTACACTCCAAACTCCAACCATCAGGCTCCTCACCAGGCTCCTCATCAAGCACCTCATCAGGCTCCTCACCAAGCCGCCCCACCTCCATACCCCACGCAACAAGGGTATAACCAAATGGGAATGATGGGGCAACCACCAACACAGATGCCACCAGCGCAATATGGAGCTGGTCCTTCGCAGCAACAGCCAAGTCTCTATCAGCAGGCTACTGTGAGGTCTGGAAGGCAACGTGCTTCGACAATGGAAGTTCAACAGGGAGGTATTCCTGTCACGATACAAAGAGTTGCTAGTCATCTTGACCCTAGCCAACCTATTCGTTTACAGCCAAGTCCTGCGTATTATCCACCTCCACCTGATGGAGTTCCTGATGGAAATCCTGGTAGTGCGCGAAGAAGGGGGAGCAGAGCTGCTCAGGGTGGACAAGCGCCTACCAGAAATCGAGATTTTATCCGAAATCTAGAAGATCGAACATTGGAGGAAGGATTCATGGGACAGAGCCAATGGCACTGAGCTCCACGACCTTAAATTTGTAGGACGAGTAGA